ATATTAATTAAGGATAACTAGTTCAGTTTTTATATATCAAATAAGTTACAAAATGCATTGCCGTGTTGCTCACATTTTTCTGTCCAGTGATTTTTATTTCTCCTAGATTTAAATTTTTGTCTGTGCCATTTACTTGGGGATGAATTTCAATTTTTACTGGAAGACGTCACCTCGATTCAGTACTTTGATTATTTTCGCAAAAGCGGGGGACAACAAGGAACTGCTTCATTTATATGTTGCAAAGGACAAACTGAAACGAGTTGACTTTTTTTTACATTGATGTTCGTATACATAAAGCCATAAGGTAAATTATGACCTGCACTACTTGCCAATACATGTTAATGGATTTGCTGAAGAGGATTTTGGGGGTGAGGTGGGGTTAGACTACATGGTTATAAGCCAGAATTCAAGGGCCGTATTTACCGGAAAGCTTTATGGATTTATAATTCATACATGTACTTCCCAATCAAAGCTGTTCATCTAATTTTTCCATCGTGTACTTATCATTGAAATTACCTCTAGATAATCTATCATCATGCATTATTTTTATCTACCGTAGTTTGTATCTCTATGGGCTGACTCAAGGTGCAACTGTACAAGTTTTCATTCCGTGTCCTGTTGTATTTAAAGGGGGTATTGCATTAATATTACTTTTGAAATCATATGATTGATTGATTGTATATAGTTTAACGTCCCTCTTGAGAATTTTTCACTCATATGGAAACGTCACCGTATGCCGGTGAAGGGGTTCAAATTTAGACCTATACTCGGCACTCAGGGCCATTGAGCAGTGAGGGTTTTTTATCGTGCCGGCGCCTACCGTGACACGGGACCAACATTTTTATATCCGAAAGACCCATGACTTTCATTTCTGATGCCGAGCGCTTGGCGAAGGAACAGTCACTACCTATTTTTGCGTCTTAGGTTTGACGCGGCGCCGCGATCGAGAATTGAAGCCGGGCCTCCCGATCAAGAAGCGAACGCTCTACGACTAGGCTACCGTGAACGGTAAAATCATATGAACTTCTGCCATTACTTGGCGATATTAATGATGACTTAGGATCGAATAATTTAGTCTTTTTAAGTTTTTTTGTTGACTTATTATATCATATATCGTATATACAACAGGAGAACGTGTCCCTGCCCAGTTTGTGACATGACATCCAGTAAAAATTCATTTTCTTACAAAGTTTACAAAGCAACAGAATGATCTGACTAATCATTATTGTTTTTGTAGTCGACATGTCAACATTATAATTTAAACAAGTAACATGATTTTAAAAAGCTGACATAAAATTTTATAAGGGAAGAGTGGTTCCCAAATCTCACCTGATCCCTGGTTCTCTTCAGAATTTATTAAAAAGATTTCTCTTTTATTTATTTATCTGAAAAAATGTGATTTCATATTATGATCTTATTGGGACCCCATAGGAAAAATACCATACTGGCTTTCATTGGCTATTCTTGGGTAAAGACATATTAAATATAATTTATGTATTTTTATTATATGAACAAAAAATATATTAGTCATTATTGTATTATAAATAAGATCTATTAGTCAATTTGTATTATAACTCATCTCTTCAATCATGTCAGTGTATTTGAAAAATTTTATATTGTTTACAATATTCGCCACTCAATGTTCATGAACATTGCAAAATGACTACACTTAAGTTATAATTATTATTACTAACCTTGACTTTGTGAGACCTCCGAATCTATATGCAATGGGTATGCTACAGTATCAGTATATATTTTTTAATTTATACAAACACATGATCAAATATTGACATACTGTAAACGTGGTTATATTGGCGAGTTGAAAAATTGACGATTTTTTGGGTACGAAAATTGACGAGTGTTAATTTTGCCGAAATATTTAATCAAGAGTTATATATCTTTGAATTCAGGAGGATACATTGGCAGTGTCGGTGTCACTAAAATTCAATTTTTGTACAGACCATCTTCAGTGTGTAAGATTGTACAAACTATCTAAGTTTGTAAGATTTGATGAAATAATTGCCCTCTTGAAATATTCATTATAAGCGGTCAATATTGTCTGAGGTGACAAATTAGATCAAACACGACGTGATTATTACGCTATGTTATGCATGCAGTATTTGATACACTAGATTCGATTCAATGGTTTTTTTTAAATGATTATATATCGCTGTGTTTTCATAACTAATTAGAAAAGAAATTAACTATAAAGCGGTAATTTTGTACAATGGTCAATGTTGTGACGCTCTGTATATGATTTGAAGTTTGACTAGTGTTAATTTTGACGAGAAAAGAAAAATCGTCAATATAGTCAAAATTAGCACATCGTCAAAATTTCCTCGTTTACAGTATAAAAATAAAAATTGTGTGTTATAGGCTAAATTTCCTAACCATTAACAAAAGTTTAAAAAAAAATAACCTAAGAATTGTTTATCTGTTATATTGATTTCTCACGAAATGCAAGATTTGGATGAATTTAAAATGAATGTTAAATGTATACCTATGAATTCCTTTCTTTTTAGTACATGTATTAGCACCTATGTCATCACAATAGATGATTTAATGGTCAAGGTCATAGTTATAAGCTCTATGTTAATTATGAAATAATATTTAGTAGAACTGTCTAAAGTGGACTAATACCCACAGCTATAGGTTTTTCAGAGAAGGTGCAAAGTCAAATAAATACTGACATTAATGGTGTTCACCAGTTTATTTTTCTGGTATTTTATCATGATAACATTTTAACGAATAAATATAAGTAAATTGAATTTTTATCTTATTTTATGTTTAAATTGTATTAAAACAATTTATAAACTAAATTTTCACTTTGGAGATATAACCTACCAATATTGAAATCTCTTTATGACCTGTTAAAAATAGGTGTCTAATCTAAATTACCATAGGATTGATTTTTACTGTTATATTAAGAAAAAATTACTTCATTTGATATGATGATAGCTTTTAAACACTAAAATTATTTTTAAATGGTGTCTATTTGTTCATTACGTCTATTTTCCATTGATTTCTTCAGGGTATGCCTAAAAAGTGATTCAAGTTGGTGAATCTATGGTATCAACATTCTTGTTTAAAATAATCATTTTGCAATGATATTGTTAGCAAATTCAATCTCAATTTAACTCAGTCGAATGCTTACTGTTGAATTAAAGGCTAGTTCTTAGGCTCATATATACAGTTTGAATTATCTACAAATGTTTTAAACATAGGAACATGTTGCTGAATCTATGATATAAATATTTTTGTTTTAATTCAACATTTCGCAATGACCTTGTCAGCGAATTCAATTCAACTTTAAGTCAGTCAAATGCTATCTGTCGATTTACAGATTTATTCTTAAATTTTTATTTTCATGCAGGCTGAATTGTCTACGAATGATTTCATGTGCAGTGTTCAATCATGAAAAAAGTACTCGGCAGGTGTACCATATGACTGGGAATGCATACTCCTCCATGGCTCATGATCCCAACGATGATGCTGTTAGAGATCCATCTTTGTTCTCTTTGTTCGGATTTGTACTGTTTCAATCGACAATTGAGCTTGTGATTTGAGCCTGAGCTCCTGATCATGACAAGGAGCATACGGCGGGTGTGACCGGACAGCAAGGGATGCTCACTCCTCGCACCTGATCCCACCTCTTATGTTTCGGACGTCCGTGTTTGCTCTGCTCCTATCTTGTATTGTTATATGTACTTTGAGAGTGAACTGTTCGTTATCTCCATATCCTTCTTGTATAATCCTCGTTTCCCTATTTTTTTTTCATTTTCAAAGGAAGTGTTTAATTCTTTAGTTAAAACTGTTCGATTTGCTAAAACCATCACTTTTTGTGAAATAGCCATTTAAATCAATATCCGTGCCACTTATAGTTGTTTTAATCAAGCAAAACTCTATGCTTCGAAATAATTGCAAAATTCATAATCGTTGGAATCATAGGAAAACTTGTTGTTATATTTTTATTTAAATTCTATGATATTTATCTCTGCAAAGGAAATAAACAAAAACAAGAAATAATTTGAATCAAAAGGGGAACAACTCGGTCCAAACTGGCTCGATCGTACAAAATCAAAGATAGTCCTAGATATTCTGATGATTAATCTGTATACAAAATTTATTTATACAGTATCAAAACGTTTGCTTCCATACAAGAAACAATATTTGGTTTTAATGTTGATTATATTTTAAATTAATCCTCCCCAATTTTAATGCACATCAAACACCGTTCTGCGCATTCGCGAATCAGTGATATTGGCGGTCACGTGACCCCCTCCGTAGCGTTGTGTCACAAAAGTTAAAAGATTTGTCCGAGTTTTATATTTCTTTCCATGTGAGTTAATTTTTATGACAAGAACAGTTAATTTGTCAGAAATGGTCATACCCCCCTTTCCAAAAATAAGCATGGCGACCATTAAAACACAAATCTTCTGTCTCAAGAGATTTAAAGGTGGATAGGGAATGGGTGCATCCTATTTATCATATCTAATATGTTTAAAATCTAAAGTAAACAATATTTTAGGTATTTAATACTTATATCATTGTTCAAATATTCAACTATTTTTCAAAGGGCTAATTGGGGGTCTTTGATAGCAAATTGCTTTATTAAAAATACATATCTTTTCAAACTTGCTTTCACTGGGCTTTTTAACCATCAGCCTTCCTTCACTAAAACGATTAATCCAATCATTAATTGAATTTATAGGAACTCATTTATCTCAATAAACTGTATACAAATTATTATATGATACTGTAGAGGGATTTCTAAATATTACAATAAATTGTACAGTCGTTTGCTGAACGAGTTTATTTTTCTTGAAAACGTCATTTTCACATTGTGACGTCACAAACAAGGAGAGAAACTTTATTCAGCATATGCTATTTATAGACCTTGTGTATGGCTATGTGTGTACCAAATTTCATTCTAATCTGAATTGTGTGGTTTTGTAGATATAGAGATAGTTTGCGAACTTTTTGATCACCCCTCGTATTTTCTTAAATATTTCACTGGTTAAAGATTAGCTAAATGGACGATTTATTCTTAAAACGATTGAGAAGTAAAGAGTTTCCAGAGAAACCATATGCTTCGTCTCTTTTGGTACCAGAAAACATAAGACCAAAGCCTTTTCCATCAGTGGTAGAAACTGTAACTTCCCCTTGGGAAACTGTTATTGACCTTACATTGTATGTATCGTTTCCAATTGATATATTCTCTTCAAATATTATAGCACTTTCTGGTACGGGTAAACCATTTATCTGAACAGATGTTCGAGATGAAGCATCAATCATAATAGAAACAAAATTGTTAATATATCCCTGTGGGACGACAATTTTATAGTAATCAAGGTATTGGTTTATTCCAGGAACTATCGTCATCGAGGGATCTCCCATGTCAGAACTACTAGAATGCAGTCCAATGCTAGTGACTAAAACTGGACTTTCTGAGTGAATGAAACACGATTGGGTGCTTGAAATATGTGTGTCAAAAGTATTGGTAACATCTAATGACAGTGTTTGGATTACATCCTCAATGGTGTATGTAATATTGGTCTTCTTTGTGGCTGTTATACGAATCTTTGTGCTTCTATCATCTGAATAAGGAGGAACAATATAAGTGTCATCAACGCTCTCTGTTGGCGGTAATTGCTCAATTAGATGATCGCATGCACCGATGTTCTCCAGTGTATTGCAATCGTTACCGGAAAAGGTTGCTATTGGATCTGAAGACTCAATTACTGTTCCCGTCAGATCTGTACTATGTGCGATCTGGTACGTTTCAAAGCTATCAAGTGTGAGATTAAACGTATCCCCATTTCTGTAAATATTGCCCTGAATGTAAAGAGGGGTGTTGGTTTCCATTTTGAAAGTTATTGAAATAGTTGTGTTGTCAGAAACAGCGGCTACTGCCAATTGGCTTTTCCAGTTGTTAGACGGCGGTGTTGATATCACTATATACTCAGTAGACAATTGATGTAAAGGGATATGGGTTGTACTTCCAGTTGAATAACTTCCGTTGTCATGACTTATTACAAAAACATCATTTGATGTTTCAAATAAAATTGCCTTTTTCTCTTTCCTAAAACTTTCTAGTTCCATTGAACTCGGTAATATGACATGCTCATATGATAAAACATGAATTTGTCTGTCTATCTGAGATTTCAGTGAAGGACTAAGATTTGGTGAAGTAGTTATATTCAAATCTGTGCCATTATCCGATGTTACGTAGACTGATTTTGTAGTAGGCATGATGTTTTTCATAAATAACACCAGGAATGATTTTCCTCGGCTTCCTGTTAAATATCAATAATATTTGTCTAATTCATTATTTTTCTTTATTTAACAGTATATGGCACGAAGAGCATGCGCTTGCTTGTAAAACAGAATAGTTCTAGTACTATTATTTATAACTATTAGTTATGATGGTTCATTTATAAAACAAGACAAAAACATTAAAACCTTACCTAAGAAATGCTAATAAACTTCAATGATAATATTATTTTGTGAATTAATTTCCGTTTCATTTGTGATTTTATCAAACTAATATGATGCTTACATTCACCTCTTTGATCAATTACTTACCAACTGTTGTATTTTTGGCAAATATTGGCCCAGGTGTTGTTTGTGTTCTTACGGTAACTAGGGTAGTTGTTGAACTCTTTAACGATTCATTTTCTACTAAAATTAATTAAATAATATATCAGAAAGTTCAGCACGTTTAACGTTGTACGATTTATAAGAACTTACTATGTACAACTAAATGCATTACACTCTAATTGTTTCATTCTAAAATCCAAAAAGTTCTTGTCTATGATATTTTTTTTATTCAAATAATGATACCCAATGAACACATAAGCTTCCGAAAGAATTCAAATTAATCTTCGTATACCTTCAAGTTCATTATTCATTGCAACCAGCAAACTGCTCAACACGGACGCAGATATCAAAAGAAGCAGCAATATCAGAAGGATGTAAAGCCATCGTTTAGGTTTTGATTCTTCAATATCAGGAATTATGGTTTTCTCAGCCCGTATCTTGTACTTTAAAAAACAGAATGTCTTTTATATAATTATATGAATAAATGTTCATTTGAAAACAGATTAATAGTTGTCATTGTAAATGTGTCTTTATCCAAACGACAACTTTAAAATTGTTACCTTAAAATTTTTAGATGATGAAAATCCTCGAATTGGAATATTGTACAAATCTGCGTTCTGTTTTAAGAGAAACTAAATTATATTTTGGAATAATAAGAGTTGATTTTCTCAATAAGTAGATATTCAATAAAATTTTATTTTTGTTATGCATTACGTCATTTAATTTGGTATATTTGAGTTTAGAAAAAAGTTATGAAAAGCACATGACTTTGTGTATGTATTTTCCACATAAATTGAACATCAATGCATAAGTTGAGGAATCTACAACCTCATTATGAAATGATGGATTGGTGCATAATTTTAGAACGTTAAATTGTTACCTTTTTCTTAAATATCATATCCTTGATTCCCATCCTGGACCTAGATTAGGTTAATATTAAGATAAAACAGTCAATTGAATTGAAGCGCTCATTAACATTTTGCTAGAATTTTAACAATAAGTTTCATTAAAGACAAACGCAGGCAATTTTTGAAAATCTTTTTTTTAACTCGATAGTAAAGGGAACTCATCAACCCACACTTTTAAGAAAAGAGAAAAAATGTCTTTAATTCCTATTTTTAATTAGTTGCAAATACTGCATTAAAAATATTTGTTGGCTTACCTTTCTCTGTATATCAAGAGCTTATAAGACAATTAAATTTGTGACACAATCTTTACAGTAGTAAAATATTATTATTATTATGTATTAAACCCAGTGAACGTTAAAGGTCTTAAAAAGTCAGCATAAAGGTGAAATCAGCTAATCGTAGTCCAATTAATGGAATTATCATAAAAGGTGTACAAAAGAACATTAGGGCACAATCATATAGATTCATTCAAAATCAATAAAATTCTAAATTATCAATGAAGTTTTATATTGTCTTTTTAAAATAAAGGATTCGTAATTCAATTATGAAAAAACTTTTGAATATAGCCTGAGTCAATTAATAAAAGACTAGCAATACTTTTAAAGTCATTACTGAATAGTTCCAATATCCAGTAATACTGATATACGTTTATGTAATATGGATGTATTTGGAATAATATTATGTAATTTTGGACTCTTTTGGTGTTGAATATGGTTTGTTATTCACCAGAAAAATATTCATATTGACCGAGGCGAAGCCGAGGTCAATATGGATATTTTTCTGATGAAATAACAAACCATATTCAACACCAAAAGAGTCCATAATTGTTTTATTATATAGTTGGGATTTGAATAAATAAGACATTGAAGGATGTATGACGACACCATTTTCATTTGCAATCTTCCATTGTTGAAAATAAAAAAAAAATCTCCAGATTACTGCTTGTAACCTCCGCGGTTTCCTTTCGTAGTTTCGCTATGGGTAAGGCGTCCAAATGTTAAAAATTAATCCTTAAAAAGGTTTGAATAATTGTTTTCCTGCTCAGATACGTAGCTCGCTTCGGCCGTTGCAACCATTGTTTACAACGTTGTTTGATGTTTTGATTGTGACGTCACAATGCTGTTGCACGCGCATTGACCCTCCGGTGAATACGGCCTAAAATCCGGTGAATATGTAATTTTATGAACTGTTTGCGTTTGTATAGATTATATAGGGACTATAAATAGACTATATAATAAACTGTATTTCATAACAAAATTTTTGCATCTTTTCCTGTCGTCAGCATAATACACTTCATAAATGGCCGCATCATTTTTGCATAACACAAAAACTAGGTCGAAGTACTTGAGTCAAAAAATTATTCAAACATAGCACTTGAAATATATCTGATAAGCAGTTATGTATTCTGCATATAATGGTCGTTATAATGACTTGTTTTATTACATTACCTTTGGTCGTATATATTTTGATATATCTGAAAACAACAAATGAATTGGACAGGTTCGAAGTGGGGATTTTGTCCTGATTATTCATAAGTGTTGATAACATGTTTTTTTTAAATAGTCCTTGGGCTACAAGTGTCGTCCAAATAACTTTATTGAAAAAATCAAAGAGACATATAAAGCTAGCAAACAATTTGTTAGTGATACTTATTGTTCTTTAATGTTTCTTGCAGTAAGTTCAACATCCCCATTCGCATTTCACTTGGAAATATTTATATTTACTTACTGGTATGATTATGAACAGACTAATCGACATAAAAGTGAACATTTAAGCAAAACATAAGATTTTAAAGGTTAAATGTAGAATTGATTGAATTCGTGTTGTTTTATGCCCCATGCAAAAACTGTTCGCTTATATTGATACGTCATTATATTTCGGTGAAGCTTTTCAAATTAGCCCTTATATACACAGCAAACAGGGCCATTCATCAGGGAAAGATTGTGAGTCAGCGCCTTCCATCGGATAATTGTAATTATGTTTAATAAAAACATATTGTGGACGATGAGATTTCATATTGAGACTTGTCACATGATGCGGCAGTTGTTGTGATTTTAGCACATTCACTTGCAGTGCTGAGGTCACCTAAAAATTTTAGTAGTGCATGGGAATAACCAAGATAACATTCTTTGTTTATTTAATACATTTACAATACTTTGTAGTTTCTGAAACGTGCTACGATCCTTTCTAAGATTCTTCAATTTCATTGTTCAATCCATATTTGTAAGAGCGATTGTTGTATTTTTTGCTTGGCGAGGCATGAAATATTGCTAGTTATATCATTTTCAGGATTTCATCAGGATCACAGCACTTTACAAATACCTTAATTCTTCTAGAATTCGATTTGTAAAAGCTTACTTATTGATATATTCAGTGTATTCACTAGATCAATTTCGCAGCATTGTTAAGGCTTGAAAAAGAGGGCGGGGCCTAATTTATACGGGGAAAGTTTACTGTGACGTCACACAAAAAATGACTTTTATGTATTTCTCATAATACCTGAAAATGGAACAATTTGCAATTTTAAACTGTATTAGCATAATAAAAAACAATAAAACTTATCAGTGCATTAAAAAAAAACTTGCTGGTTAAATCCCATGTAGCTGGTTATAAACAAAGCACTCATCGCAATGAACTTGTGTTGTGTACATGACGTCATTTTGTAAAAATGACGTATTTCATGTGCTGTGAGAGGCAGATTGAGGAATTTTTTAACAATGAAAAATGCGTTTTATTATTAAACAGAATATTATTTACAGGTTTTAAATAGTCGATTAATACCAATGTTTATCCTTTGTCTAGTGCGATTATTCATTAACTATGAAAAGAATGTATTTTATTAATTATGTCGTGTTTTTATGCACAGACTACGTATATTTTACATCGAGATGCCTCATAAAATCGTACTTTCGCAAGGACATACACTGAATAGATCATAACCATTTTTTGAATATTGATAAAGAATATTTTTCTAACCTGGAAAAGTGCTGCTACTCTCTTTAAATCGAGGGCGTGGTTTTATAAGTACATAAAATATCTGGTAAAATTCAAACATATTTCGACATTGGCTTATTTACCTGAAAATTTAACTATTAAAACGCGAATTCTATTTAAAGCAGCATCACTTTTCAGAAGCTACGAATTATGCAGAAACAATTAATAGCGTAAATTTTTAATTGCAACTAGGGTATGCCCTTGCGATATTGAAATTTGTTTATGACCTACATTCAGTACACGTGCTATGCATTTATCACGTGACTGTGCATCAATGAGACAAACTTCATACAGTATAGGGTTTGTTATACTTAGCTATTTCCAAAAGTATTTAAGTTCTGTAGTAATTAAACAGCTTAATTAAGATAAATTCAGTTTAAAAAAAAATTCCCCATTTTTTGCACGTCTATTTTCAGTTTCTCATAGTAGGCCTTAACATTGTTGCGTTACTAAGACCCCCACATTACCCTTTGATGTACTTGCATACAAATATACATTTTTTGGCAGTGTAAATTAAATAGGAAACATACGAAAAATATATCAATAACATCGTTAGGAAGACATTGAATCCAATTTAATGGCCTATAAAATATATGTAAATGATATTTTATTTAATTTTAGCATACATTTTTCTTTGAAAAAATATAACTTGATTTATGGCAAGCCCTTTTACTATTTATTCGTAAAATAAATTTTTCTTTGAAAATGAGAGATATCTCTCTAGCATAGAGAGATATCTCTTTAGCTTATGGAGATATCTCTTTAGCTTATAGAGATATCTCTTTGACTAATAGAGATATCTTAATACTTTAGAGAGATATCTCTTTCAACAAAAGAGATATCTCTTTTTGAAAGAGAGATATCTCTTTTAGTAAGAGAGATATCTTTATAAGCTAGAGAGATATCTCTTTAAACGAGAGAGATATCTCTTAAAGTTAGAGAGATATCTCTTTAACAAGTTTAAAAGAGATATCTCTCTTAATTAGAGAGATATCTCTTTAGATTTTCAAAAAGAGATATCTTTCTAAGCTAAAGAGATATCTCTTTTAATGAAAGAGATATCTCTTTTCCAATCACCCTTTAAATAAAATAACTAATTCTCCCGTTAAAAACGAAAGCGAAACAGGAAGTAATGTCTGTTAAGTCGTTCGTTTTCTGGTTATTGAAAAGAAGAGGATAAAATGGACTGATTGATACAGGTAAACAAGGTTTAATTGCTTTATTGTTTTAAGCGAAAGTAACAGGATTTCAAACCAAAACGTCCCCCAAAGATTGGTTCCATATTATATTTATTTCATTTATTTAGCTCACAGGACAGCTGAGCTGGGGATATAGAATGCGAAGTCAATAAAAACTTAATACTCCAAAAATAAAAACGTCCAACATTACTTCTTTCATGTAAACAGGGATGTATATATTCAACTTCAATATTAACTGTAGGACTTTAAACGACATACATGTACGATCAATATATATAACTGTAAAGCCTTATGACCCCCTTCCCAAACACAGGCACCTGAAGTATGGATAATAACCCCCCCTTTTTTATATATTTTTTTAAATTTAACAAAAAAAAAGGGGGGGGGGGTATTATCCATACTTCAGGTGCCCGTGTTCCCAAATACTCTTACAATTATGAGAAAGACATTTTATTTTCTTAAAATAGGCATTAGAAATAGGAATTTTCTTATTTGTCTTAGCTAGAACAATCCCAAATTTATCCAATGTTGTCACCAAACAGGTCTGCACTGGGTCCATAAGACATTCATCATTCAATGGTAGAACATTTTATCTACATTTGTCATATTTTACAGAGATCCAGGAGGTACTGAAAAGGGGACAATGCTTCGACTGAATGTGTCATCCATGTACCAGTATAGACCTGTTAATGAGGCATATCCAATAATTCTTATACTCATGAAGAGTGCGGCAACTCCCAAGTAGTTAAGGATGGCACTCATTTTAAATCTGGTACAGGATAATTTTTTGGGCTGCACTTTTCTTTACTTCAATATTGCAAACTTACTAGTTAAGTATCAAGTCCACAAAAGCTCAAACACCATGGTGAATCAATGGACCATAATGATAGTTAAATTTGTCATATGCTTTCTTATTAAATTATCAATTTGAAATTTGATTGGTAAAAAACATTTATTAACAAGTACAATTCTTCTACTGTGTGCCTGTCATCCCAACAATTGCAAATGCACATCGATAGGTTCTCCATGAAAATTGCTAACTGCGCAGAATGGTTGCACATTTTTTCAATGAACGACATTTTCTTAACATTGAATCCTTCAGTATAACAAGACAAATATTGCATGCTCATTTTAATACAATATAAATAAACTTAAGAACAAACTTAAGGATTGAAGTTTAATTTGTATATTTGGTAGTTACATGCATGCGTAATTAGTTTTATATATAAAGGATGTACACAAGCATTTTATAACATTGAAAATATTCAAGAAAGTATTCTCTTAATTTCTTGCAGATCCTCACTTCTAGGATGTTTTCCATGTTCTTGTGAAAAGTGTTTTACATGGCACCATTCAGCTACAAATACTTTGCCGGTGGAACTGTGACATCAATCAACTGCTCATGCCACTGCTAACTGGCAGAATTTCCTTTGGGACAAGCTAACTGTTTCAAATATTTTACACCTGCAAGTTAGTACTTATGAAATTTTGTTTGCAGGAAGCTAAAAGCTAATGAGTACTGAAAATACAAGCCAGATGAAGTACAAAAGTGTTGATACAGGTCATTTAGAATTTTCAATTCTTTGCAGGTAGTGATGAGTGTACTGGAAGTTTTTTCGGGATCTTGTCTGACATCATAGGTACAACTGGTCACTGTGTTTTTTGGTTATATAAGCAGGCATATTGTTAAAGCGGTGACACATGTAGCTTCAAATGATGCTTGACTGTTTGAGTGTTTTTCTTTGATTTATAAGTAAACCTGGATTGATTTCTGATGCAGTAATATAGAGCCATGTCCATTCTTTAATATTCCATCATCCCACTGTCACAAAGTACTGAAATAAAAATGATTCTGATTTTAAAAGTTTTTGGTTTTTATATGTAACATAAAATTCTACAGAAATTCAAATATTAAAACTACTTCAAAACAAGATGTGTTTGTGAAACACTATGCACCAGGCGGCAACAAATTCAAACAAGTTTTTTTAAGCATATAGGTCATAGTCAAGGTCACAAGGTCATTGGCCTTGGTGTCATTTGAAAGAGCTTAATTAGTGGAGTATGCAAATCAAATATGAAGTCTCTATCTTTAACGGTACAAAAGGTATGGTGAAAGTTCAAAATGGTATTTATAGCATTAAAGTCACATTAAAGGTCAAAAGTTCACTGGCCTTGGTGTCATTTGAAAGAGCATAATTAATGAAGAAGGCATTCCAAATATGATTTCTCTATCTTTAATGTATCAAAAGTAAAGGCGAAAGTTAAAAAAAAAGCTATTTTTAGCATATAGGTCACAGTCAAGGTCACAAGGTCATTGACCTTGGTGTCTTTTGAAAGAATTTAATTAGTGGAGTAGGCATATTAAATATGAAGTCTGTATCTCTCATGGTTCAAAAGTTATGGTGGAGGTTAAAGTTGACAAATGACAAACAGACATAGAAACAGGATATAAACAATAGACAATAATTCACTTATTTTATGATTGTGTATATTTATGTGACTGAATTTTGGAATCAATTTGTACAAAGGTCTAGTGTCATTGAAAAAGATTACAGAATATCCAAAAGAACTGTTTTACTTGTTAATATAGAAGGAAGTTGTTTAGAAAATTTTCTTTTATTAGTTGCAAAAAATTTTATTTACTATTCAAGATCACAAGATAGTAAGCCATTATTTATTGATGCAGTAAAGTTATTCAAGTATTACAGAAACATAGAAAATTGTTGTGAAGAAGTTTTTCAATGTAAGGACAAAATACTCAGTAAATGGGTCCTGTATGATAATGTGTACAAGAAGTGATGAAAAAATCAAAATTGTAATTTTTTGTTAATTTATATCTACACATTTGGGTGCATCTGTTTTGTTTTTGGATAAATTGTATGTTTAACTGTCATATGTTTACATATATGTACATTTATTATGCCCCCCCCCCCTTTGAATAAAGGAGGGCATTTTGCTTTGCTGCTGTCTGTCAGTCCATTTATAAAGGTATATCAGATTAATCAGAGGCGTATTCACAAACTTAAAAGTGGGGGGGGGGGGCTCATCTCCAAAAAAAAAAAAAACTGAAAGTTCCCCAAACTCGAAAATCCTATTTCGTGCGGGGGGGGGGGGGGGGGGGGGGTTAGTGTCCAACTTTTTCAAAGACAAGCTACTTTCAATTCCTATTTTTTCCACAATTCTTCGATATAACTATACTTTCCTATAGTATAGGTAATGTTGAGCAAAAAGAGCTGTGATTTTGTTCTTCGTTAAAAAGTGGGGGGGGCACAGACATACTCTTGCCCCCCCAGATCTGAAAGTGGGGGGCTAGTGCCCCCGCTGCCCCCCCCCCCCTGTGACTACGCCCATGTGAATATCTAGGTCAAGTTCTGTTTTGGGTATGATCATCGCGCCATTTTTGACAGAGTTATACCCCTTGGCTTTAGAAAAATTCCAATTACTGGCAGTTTCTGTTCATTTCCTTTACAAGGGTTGCACATAGTGAAATGCAATTTAGTATACAGATTTATCAGATGATCATGAATATCTATGTCAAGTTCTCTTTTGGGTATACTTGCACCATTTTTGACAGAGTAATGCCTTTTTGGACTTAGATAAAAAATTCCAAAGTGGGGGGAGGGGGGCATAAGTATTTTACAAACATCTCATTATTTTTAATTTTAGAAAGTGCACTGTGTGAGTGTGTGCAATTGTGGTGGTGAGTGGGTGAAAATTGTCTTGTGTTTGTACAGTGTATATATGGATATGGAAAATGCTTCAAAATAAAGCATTTAAAAAAAGTTTTGGAAAGTATGGCAATCATATACCATGCAGTACTCAGAAATGCTAAATAAAAGGCTGCGTAGAAGAAAAAAAAATAATTAAAACTACCAATCAAATAAGTATTAAATGTAAATCTTTTAAGATGAAGGTTTTGCTTTGTCAGATTCTTTGCTTATAGGGACACTTACCTTTAATAATGTCATAACAGGTGAGGCACATGGCTGGTCTTCATGCTGGATCAGTTCTTATTTAAAACCATCCAGTATTGCCCCAAGATTGCCAGATGTACAGACAAAACCTGTAATTTAGCAAGCTTCTGTAATATGCCAATTGAATTATTACATAGGCCATAGTTGTATGTGCAACTGATAATGATGTAGGACTAAGGTGCCTGACAAATAATGAGTTATAAATCTTACAAATATCCATTTATTTGATACAAATCTTAACTTTCTTCATTAAATTTTATCAATGATTTTACAAGAAAATCAGAATAAAAATTGTCCTTTTTATACATAAAAAATATTTTCATTTAAAATCTTTTTATTTAAAAATATTTGTTGCATTTTCATATTTAGGGTACCCTTCCTAGGCCAACAATAAAAAAAAATGATTTGTTTGCTGTACTCTGACCGACCTGTTAAAATTGCCCCTACCCATTTGCATTCATTTCTTGGGGGCACTTAAAATTTTTTAACACCCCCCTTAATTTCCATAGATGTTGTAAAGATAAGGTATATTTTTTTTTAGGATGCTTTTTAATTTATAAATACAAAGTCTTTGTAATTAAATGAAAACATTAACAGATTTCTGAGTCTGTGGTTTTAAATATGACAGTTATCAATTTATTCAATGCTGTAAGACATAAGAAAAAAAAACTAGAAATATGTCCACAGGACAGGAATGCCCGCCAAGGGTATATTAGTCATGCAAAATGAAAATTTGTATGAAATTTGATCAGAATATCTTGAAAAATGTTACAGTTGAATTGCTTACATCAGTATGTATCAGCATATGAAGTTTGACACTAATTTCAGAGATGTGAGGTCAAGGTCAAATAAAAGGTCAACGTCATGTTGATGCAGTTGAATTGCTTACATCAGAATGTATCACCATATGAAGTTTGACACTAACTTAGGAAAATTGAGGTCAAAGTCAAAAGAAAGGCCAAGGACAAAAAATGTTTGTTTCAGTTGAAAAGCTCTCATCAGTATAGTAAGTTTGATACAGTAAATCTCGTTTCGTACGAACACGAATATTGCGAATTCATGGGTATAGCGAAGTCATCTTGGATTCCCAGCTATAATATTTCAATGAATTTCTTATACGATTATTATAATAATGAATTATGGATATAGCGAAGTAATTTCATAGGTCCCAGCAACTTTGTTATAACCGAAATTGCTGTAACACCATCTTGAATGGTATGTTTAAAACTAAGTTAAACACTAATTTAAGAAAAGTGAGGTCAAGGTCAAAGGAAAGGTCAAGGACAGAAAATGTTGATGCAGTTGCATAGCTCTTATCAATATCTATCAGCAAAGTTTGATGAAATATCCTGTATAGTTTCTTTGAAACTGGGCTTTGAACTGAGCTAAAAGCAAAGTGTGATGCATGGACAGAAAGACAGAAGACAGACATGACAAACACTATATGCCCAGGCCATAATCATGGTGGGGCATAAAAAAACTACCGGTACCTACCAACCTACCTGCCAACCTTGATAAAAGTGGGTAGGAGTACATCAAACAATATATTTTTAAAGCTGGCCAGTTGTTGACTAGTATATTAGTCATTTTGATATGCTATGTCTTATAAAAAATAAATTTTATATTTGTCTTAGAACTTATTTGTTGCATCAATTTCATACCTGTATTTGATTTGCATTGTTTTGGATGCTGATAATTCAAAGTCATGATCAGTATAGTCTTAGGTGCTGCTGACTTTGGATCTCTTAGGAACTGCATCTTTTATCTGTGTTACTGGTTCTCTTGTACCTCTGCTATTAATAAGTTTTAGTGTATACAGTTGTGTAATATCAGTGAATAAATTGAACAGACAGATTGATTGTTTATTGTTTATCGTTCCTCTCAAGAATTTTTCACTCATATGGAAACGACAGTGGAGAGCTGCAAATTTTGTCCTAATTACCTATACTCAGCACTCAGGGCCATTGACTGATTGAGCAGGAAGGGATCTTTTTTGTGCCAACACCTGACCTACTGCAACAAGGGGCCACAGTTATACTGTATCATCCCAAGGACAGGTCTCCACATCCCACAGTGGGATTCAAACTCATGATGTAAGGATCAACACCTTATTTCGCGACTCTACTAGAGCAGACACTCTAACCACTGTGCCATGCAGGCGAATTTGAACAGACAGAAAAATTTACCAAAATCCATAAACCATGTTCTATAAACAAGAAACATACTCTCTAAAGTGAGAAATATGGTCATCTAAATTTTATTTTATGCAGAGAGATGGCAAAATATATGAACATCTTATCCTTGTGAAATAGATCTAAATTGCTACAAACATTTAATGCTCAAAAAAATAATCCACTAATACAAAGCAGGTTAAAATTTACTGAAAAACAAGATGTGTTTGTGAAACACTGATGCCCCCGTACGGCAATTTAGCGACAGTTAAGCTTATGGGCGGCGGAAAGGGTAAAAAAGACGTTTATGCAAAAATAACAATTAATTTTATAAACATAATGAAATACATAACAATATACAACCTGAAAAACAAAATCAACAGACTCGTTTGCAAAATCAACAGACTCCGATGCGAAATCAACGTTCACCAATGCAAAACCAACGATTTATTCACTGAATTGTCGCTAGATGGCGTGCAAAAAACATATATTACCTGAATTAACGCTAGATGGCGCTCAAGTATTTCTACGTCATCATTATTTTTGTACAATTAAAGAGTGAAGGTCAAAAGGCTGAAACGTAGCACATGTAGGAAATTCGCATGCCTCCCTTTCAATGATAAAAATAAAATCAAAAAAGGCTCGCATGTTTGTGAGACTGGAACTTTCTGGATATAGAATAAAAGTTTGATGTCAAAAGTTTACAATGATATGCATCAAGGTGCATTTCAAGCACAAATTATGCATAAAAATATGTATTAATATGAGAGGTCATTTGGTTTATTTACATTTTTTAAGCCAAGCGAGAGCTATTTGGAGGTCATGACGTCAGAAGTTTATTAATAACCAGGGATTTCCACATCGAACAGCCCCATTTTTATGTGAATATTTACCTGACTCATTGCTCTTGTCATGTGGTAAAAATATTTTGGAAATGAATCTTTTTTAAAAAGTTACAAAGAATACAAAACATATGTTTTTACTACATAAGTCTATACACATGTATATGTAAGCTAATTGTGGTCCGGGTCCAAATTGTCTATCAACATCCATTTGGCAAACCTCGGATAATATTTAGCATCATATGTTGGACTTTCAAACATACAAGAGGCAGCAAGACACCTAGAAACGACTGTAAATATATTGAAAGAAAAAATCCCCTTACACTCTCAAAAAAGGTCATATAATATTATTTTATTGTATTCATGCATTACACAATATGTTGATACATGAAAAAATCACTTGCAAGTTGTACTTGTATCATTTTTGCTTTTCTTTGTACGACTAAGTGAACTGTATTAAATTTATTTTAGAATCAGATCCTTTGTTCCGCTCATATAGATCGCTTCTTGTGTAGCGATCTATGTGAGTGGATCAAAGGATCTGATTTTAACCATATTGATAAGAGGACGTATCATGTCGCACAAATTATGGTTCATATATGTTAGAGTAAAAAAATAATTTTATCAAACTGCATGTATTGCCCAATAATTACACAGTTTTCAATAATATAGCTATATGCACGGATCTAGAGTTCCAGACCCCCCTCCCCCCCCCCCCCGTCCCCACCCACCCACACACACACCCCTTGGATTTTGCAGAGTCGAGGGTTTTTTTTAACACTAAACCAAGTTTACTTTAAATGACCTTAGACGCCCCCCCCCCCCCCCAAAACGCTGAGCCTCATCAAATAAGCGAAAATGCCAAGTGGCTATGTAAAGTACTAGGTTTCTATGTATGAAGCTTTAAAAGTTAACCTCACCCAATCCCTCCCCCAAATAAGTTTATCATAAGTTTGGGAAAGGAGTTTATGTTTGATTATTTGTTTGCTTGGCTTGTTTGGGGGGGGGGGGTGCTTGTCAAGAAAATTATGGGCTGGAATGTTTTTATTGATCTTGATGAGGCCCCCTCCCCCCTGAAAAAAAAAAACAGGATCTGCGCCTGTACAAATATAAATTACATGTATATAATACAGAAAAAGATAAATGCCCTGATGAACAGGATAATCAAGGTTGGTATTAATGCGCAAGAGAGATGATATTTTTTTTATTTTATTATTATTATTTTTTAGGAGGGGGGGTATCGACATAGGAGGGTATGTCAATATCAATAACTCATGAAGTTTCAGTCAAAGTCTGACAAGATTTTGGTAACTTGTTGATCAAACATGAATTAAAATGTTTGATAATAAATCTGAAAACATATTCGACAGGATAGTTTTTATTTTATTCAAAAGTTTACTATGCGTTTTTTTTTTAAGTAAAGTTGAGTATAGTTGAAACCGTAAACAAATTTTTTACACTGTAGCGCTACAAGGATGAGACTCAATTGTACTCCTGTACAAGGTGTGGTGGCATCTTTGCCATGGTATGTGCAGTAGACCTTGTCCCATGTGCATTTTGACTAACACAGAAAATGGTTCCGCGTTGCAATTAATGCTCTCTAAATGACCATGAAAATGCATGCTCAAATTCAATTTCAGTCAGCCCCCCCCCTGCAGGCTCTATGTCCCTTGGCCCCCTACTGATTTTCCAAACAGTATCCCCCAAACCTGGAGTAATCGCTGTCCTAAATTCCTACACCTTATTTTTAAGCAAAAATAAGATATGGATACACAGACATCTTGCCTTAATTTCTTTTCTTTATATTTTTAAGTTCTCGTGTCATTCCCTAAAATATACACAGGGTCAATCTAATGGATAAAAATGGGTATATAATGTATTTAAGGAATAACTGTCTTATTTTTCGAATTCATGAAGTGATCAATGGATTGGCTTGTGTGATAATTTGCATAAACGCCGAAGGCGTTTATGCATAAAATTATCACACAAGCCAATCCATTGATCATCTTCATGAATTCGAAAAATAAGACAGTTATTCCTTATATTTACATGCTTTGATTCCGCCAATCCACGGGCTCCAAGCCTGCTTCTCTCCAGGTGTTGTCCCGCCCTGCACGTTGTTTTTTTTTTGGAACCGCGCCAAAACATTCATGAGGAAATCAATTACATTTACAATTGGTAATTTTATCTCGGACAAAGACATTGGAAATGTAAATATTATTTAGTAAATGGTCCCTATTATATGTATTCCGATATACACCATGAAAGTACAAAAATAATGATGACGTAGAAAAACTTGCGCAACATCTAGCGTTAATTCAGGTATATGTCTTTTGCACGCCATCTAGCGACAATTCAGTGAATAATCGTTGGTTTTGCATTGGTGATCGTTGGTTTCGCATCGGAGTCTGTTGGATTTGCAAAAGAGTCTGTTGATTTTGTTTTTCAGGTTGTATGTTTTGTATTTCATTATGTTTATAAAATTAGTTGTTAGTTTTGCATAAATGTCTTTTTTACCCTTTCCGCCGCCCATATAAGCTTTCTCAAATGCAAATCAAATATGTTAATTGGTACCAAAGTAAGGTCTTTTCACAAGAAATGAGAAATGTAAACACTAACTACACCTGTTCCAGGGTTATGACCAACGTTAACATCATAAAAGATAGGACAAATTCCGGGTCAAGGTCAAAGGGTCAAGGTTGTTGTGTTCTAAATAAAGGCCTTGTCTCAAAGATTACGTATGGGAAGTATGAAAGCACTGGCCCTTACCGTTCAAAAGTTATGGCCAAGGTTAAAGTTTGTAAAAAGTAGGTCAAACTTTAAGGTCAAGGTCAAAGGGTCAAGATTCTTGATATCCAATGAAAGGTATTGTCACAAGGATTACACATGTGAAATATGAAAGCTCTAGCCCCAACTATTCAGAAGTTATGGTCAAGGTTAAAGTTTGTAAAAAGTAGGTCAAACACCAAGGTCAAGGTCAGATGGTCAAGGTTCTTGAAATCAAATGAAAGGTCTTGTCACAAGGATTAAATTTGTGAAGTATGAATGCCCTAGTCCTAACCCTTCAAAAATTTCTGTCAATGTTGTGTATTTTTAAAGTGGGTCAAACTCCAAGGTCAAGGTCAAAAGGTCAAATTTGGTGGTACCCAAAGAAAGGTCTTACACAAGGAATATACATATGAAATATGAAAGTCATAGCTCCACTAAATCAAAAGTTATGGGCAAGGTGAAAGTTTTTGCGGACAAACAGAGAGACAGACAGACAGACGGACACGACAAAAACTAATTACCCCCGAAACTTCGTTAACGGGGGCATAAAAAGCATATTTAAAAAATTACCCAAACAAAAGTGATGCAGCCACAGTATCATAAATATGACGTTGGTTCCCATCAATGAGAAAACTCCTCCTCTATAATCAGCTGATGAATAACATCTCGGATTCAAGAGAAATCTGTTAACAAATTAAGGCAAAAGATAATTTTGAAACTATTTCATTCGGTTAAGAATAAAACACTTCATTTTCCCTCAAAATAAACAAGAAACGGATGACACTCTCTGATTTGTTTACCTGTATTTCGATCGAAATATTCCTGGTGGACGCTCGCACCCAATTTCTTATGACATGAAATTCATACATCGTAAGTCGGACAACCCTTCGGCTTTGTAAAACTATTTAATTTCCCCCTGAAAGCTGTGTGTAAACTAGAAACATGCTGAACTCAATACACATTCACCATGACCATGTGCGAGGAAGTGAAAATTATCGTAAAATCTCGCGAGTCACGTGACGAGACTTACAGACTCTGGACCGAATTTTCTCAGCTTTTGAAATAATGAATAAAAAATTCACTTCCGGTAAAGGGAGAAGTCATTTCAAATGGAATTTAAATAAACATAATGAAGAGAGATATCTCTTTGCAATAAAGAGATATCTCTTTTTGCTTCAGAGATATCTCTTTTAGACCCTTTTGAAAGATATCTCTTTCACTTTGAGAGATATCTCTTAAGATAAACTTAGAGAGATATCTCTTTTACTTAAAGAGATATCTCTTTAACTTGGAAAGATATCTCTCTAAGTGAAAGAGAAATCTCTCTAGGTGAAAGAGATATCTCTCTAGTTGAAAGAGATATCTCTCTAGTTGAAAGAGATATCTCTCTTACGATCAGAGATATCTCTTATCACGAAAGAGATATCTCTCAAGGAGAAAGAGATATCTCTCTAAGAAAAAGAGATATCTCTCTTAGTATAAGAGATATCTCTCTAACTTTAAGAGATATCTCTTTCTTATAGAGATATCTCTTTAGAATAAGAGATATCTCTTTAAGTTGAGAGATATCTCTTATTTTTAAGAGATATCTCTCTAAAATGAGAGATATCTCTGTAATTTTCAGATGAAATTTATTTTCCGAATAAATAGTAAAAGGGCTTGCCATATTGATTTGCCTCTCACTGCATACAAACAGGGTCAAGTTTTACTAAATGACGTCACATATTGACAAGTGCATTGCGATCAGCATCGTCACAAGCCACGGTCCGGAGTCTGCATAAATATAGGATATTCAATGTTTTGTAGTTTAATATGGAATACATTTCAAGAATGGGACAGGGTTTTTATATTCACAAGTGCGAAGCAAACTCGTGAAATAAATTAGATGTCCAACTAGAAAACATTGAATTTTCTGTTTATTCCATTTTTAAGACCTTTCCTCTGCCTTATTGTAATACAGAAATACTGTCAAAGGCTACATGACATCATAGTTAAGTGGTTGAGACGTCATCGCTAAATGAGGTGAAATCTTTGTAAACTTGGATTAAGTAATATTTTTTGTAATTTTGATAGTTTTATTCTCGGTCAGAATGGTTTATTTATTTCTATATATTTTATATCAGGCCAAGTAGTCCATGGGCCACTGGGGGTGGTCGGTACCATTTTGGGTGAATAAACTTGATAGTGATATTTGGTAAGGTATACCCCTAACTAGTGAGAAAATGTATGATAGCATCAAATCTGTTGTGGCTTTAATGCTAGAGACACAGTTTTTGCCCTTTATTTGCTCAAATTAGGTAGTTTGAGCTAATTATATTTGCAACCTGCAAAGTGTTTTTCACACTGTTGCCAACCGTGATAGAAAGTTTTACAAGAATTACTCCGAGATATGGTGAACATATTATAAGAGCATTAACTGAGTTACTAGCCGTGATTCTCAAATTGCATATTTTTCCCCCTTTATTTAACAATTATTTGTACCTCAAAAATTTGTATAACGAAAAGATAAGTACCAACGCACATATACTAGTTTAGTTATTCGTCCGTCGGTAACGACAATGACCCCTGTCTCATTTTTGTTGGGGAAGGGGGATGACCTGGACGGTGGGTGCTGAGGTGACTGGTCAGGCCGATCCTCGCACAAGCAGATGATGGAGTTTTCCGATTAGAGCCATGCCCCCTTCTTTGTAAATCTCAGCTGGGATGGAGTATCGGGATATCGGCCAGGTGCTATCCCAGTGACAACATACTAATTGCTTTTTATGGATCTCATCCAATGTGGGAACGGCATCCAGTGACTAGTTGATGTTATTCTGGGAAGACGGTTGATGGTTTCGTCGTTGATGGTAGAAGGACGGTTCAGAACACCAATGAAATGTTCCGCTCACCTGTCCAGTATCTTTTCCTTCTCTCTGATGAGTGTTAACTCGTCATCACTGAGGAGAAGGGACGAGCCTGATGGAGTTGGCCCGTAGACTTCTCCAAGTACACAATAAAAGTTTTTCCTAGGCCTGTCATTAAATTCGGCGTAAGTTGGATCTCGTCAGCTTTGGGCCAGAGTCCTGCATATCCCGAAGTAGTTGCCGTGCTATGCTGCCAGCGTTCCTCAGAGCGTCTTTAATGGTTGTAGAGGTGGGATCATCTATATGAGCCTTGGAAGCGCGATGCTTGTCCTCAAGAAGCTGCATGATCTCGGGTCGGTTCTCATCAAACCTGTCTTTGTGTTATTTTTGGTGGAGGGCCCAAGACACTCAAAGACTGTATTGTACACAGTATTACGAACTGTGCTCCATGCAGCACGGTGGAGTTCAGGCGTTCTTCCAGGGTGTCAGCAAAGTACGGAGAGAGGTAAAGGCAACTTGAGCTTACCAACGTTGAGACGTTTTGAAGCCTTAGTCTACTGAGGACGTATCCTGAGTTTGATCCGGAAGTTTAATGGTAAAGTTTAAAGACTGTGAGACGGTGATCTTTCCAGCACTCCGTGCCGCACATAGCCTTGGTGAACAAACGGACTGTCTGTCTGTCTCTCATCCTGACAATGATGTAGTCCTGATCCTTGTTTTTTCTTGTTCTCTTTATTATTTCGCATGTGTAGGGCCCACATCAGCCGCGGAAAACTGGCTAGGGAAAGTTTGGAATACCTTTTATAATCTGCTCCTCTTGCCATGGAGGTGAGCAGTGCGTTCCTAAAGAGGACTGCTCAGTAACACAGGGGGCTGCCGAACTCCACCGCTGCTCTGGTCAGTGAAGAGCGATGATCTGTGCCGCCTTTGTGCAGATCCGTGACTACCGACTTCCAGTGAACCCGCATATGTCACCTTCGTTGCTCGCCTGTCGCCACAGGGCTTTGGGTTGGATGATAGAAGGGATGGAAGATGTTCATTGTCTTGCGCGATGAGTTTGAATAAAATTAAGAAGGGTTGCGCGTCGCCGACCTCACTCTATCGCCCGCAACCATCTAGATCCAGTGGCAAGACAGATGTTAGGACGTCTGGAGATGAAGACATATACAACGGAAGACTAAGACGTGCTATATGTGCCTTGCCTTGCTCGAAGCATTCCATGGTGCTTGCTGTGTCTGCCTTCTTCTCCGTTGAACCATGACGGTTTCCTCCGCAGAGTCCGGCGGAACACAGTCTTTAAATTCGTTTTGGGTAGGCAAGCTCTCAATCAACAGGGTTTGAGACCCGTCAGCGCTTTGTGTAGAGAGTGCTCTCCCAGAGGGATCTCCCTTAAGGATAAATAACACAAACAAACTTTTTTTTCAGAAATCAGCATTATTTCTCATAGATTTACATTTAAATTGACAACCTGAATAATGTTTACAAAGTAGAGTGGAAGAATTTTATTAGATTTTGTCATAAAGTTAAAAAATTGTGCAAAATTTTGTATGAAATTATATAGAAGGCAAAATAAAATCTCAAATAAAAGCACCAAGGAAAACCTACGATTTCTCTATATTTCAGGGATTTATTATTTATATCAATACAAATCAAAATCAGTCAAAAATATATATCAACCCGCGCATTAATTTTTTGTTTGTGGTAAGTATCCTTAAGAGGACAAGGGTTCTCTCTACCCGGACTAGTGGAGGGAAGGGTCGTGAGACACAGCCCACTGCCCACAAAGAACATATATGATTGTGCACATACATTGCTTAATTTTGATTTCAAAAATATATATATTACACGTTTAACTTAGATGACCATATACGTGCCCATTATCACAATGGTTTAGCTGGAGAATAATTAAATAAAACATTTTACGTAAAGGCTCTACTTGAGACCTGACAAATTCACAATATCTTTATTAAATAAAGAATATACGCACAGGGTAAATCAAGGGAATTTTCTTTCAATTTTCATTTTAGGAAAGGGATAAAGATTTATTATAAAATCAAGTTATATTTATTTGTTACTGACAAAATTTTTTGAAATGCTAATACGTGATAAAAATTCTTTAAATAAAATGACCATGCAATTTGTTTTTGGTGTGAAAATTGTCACAGTAGTAATTTGTTTCCTTGATCAAAATTTCAAAATTGCATATTCCACTTTTATGATCAAGGGAAGAATTATATTCCTATATAATTTAGACGGCTCATTACAGAGCCAATATTGAATAATAACTGAACAGGGTAATAGCATGGTCTGCATTCAAAAGAATTTTCAAGAAAATATTATCCGAATTAAGATAGAAATTGCGTATTGAAAAAACCAACCTTCTTCTTTCAGAGAAACAGTTGAGAGAACGAACAAGTTGGGTTGGTGTATATGAACAGTTGATAAACCATTAAGCCACAATCAATTGAATGCTATCATACATTTTCTGAAGGTAGAGATGTATGTCCTTCAAAAATTAACTATGAAAATTATTCACCCGAGATGGTACCGATACCGAAATATTCATGGCCTAGCTCATGGACTAAAGGAAGATTTTTTTTTTAATTTTTAATTTTTAATTTAAAACACTCTCCGTTTTTGGATGGAAAATGGACTCAGAGTTTAACCTCACTTCTGATATTTATCACATTTTGACAGGATATCATTGTGCTTCTCACTCGTGAAAATATCAAAAACCCTCTACGACTCGTGAAATAAATTCCATATTCACCTACAAAACATTGAATTTTCTGTTTATTACATTAAAAAAATACAATCTTTGATTTTTCCTTTGCCTCTGTCTTTTTGTTATACAATAATAGGCTCGTGACTTCCTAGTTGAGCGGTTGAGACGTCATAGCTATGTGAGGTAAAAATACTGTAAACAGGATTTAGCAACATATTTTTTGTAATTTTGACAGTTTTATTCGCTGTTAGAATGGTTTTTCTATTTCCATCTATTTTATGTTAGGTCAAAAAAGTTTTCTTTACATTAATCTTAGCTGTAGGAAGAGAAATCGAGAGTTTTCCCGCACTATTGACATTCGTCACACTGTGACAGGATATCATTTTGATATCCAACAGATAAAAATGCCATATTTTGACTTTCAAAAATTCTATAAAAATATACATGTACTTTTAACATTAGCAGGCATTGTACTGGATATTAAAAAG